ACTACCACTACCTCCTACTACTACTACTACGACGACGACGACGACGACGACGAGGAGGAGTGCTATTGCTACCGTTATTAGTATTAGTACTAATAATATTAGTATTAGTACTAATATTAGTATGAGTATGAGTATTTCTAATAGTACTGCTAGTACTATTTACTATTACTATTACTATGTCAGGGTTTCCTCAACCTTCCAAGCCTTGACGGTGGGTCGGGCCACCTCGCCTGTGTCTTGCGGACACAGCTCCTTTCTGGGGAAGGGGTTCAGGAGAGGCATTGGGGTAAACGGGGGATGTCTGCCTGGAAGGTCCCATTGAGCGCCGCAGGAGAAGCACTGCTCGCTTCGCTTGCAACTAGTACTGTTTAAGGGCGTAAACCCTAAACCCTAAACCCTAAACGCTAAAAGGCCCTAGCAGGTTTGCACTTCATTGAGGGCTTTGTAGGTGTTGTCTGGAGCAACTCTCACATCTGAAAGCCTGAAAAACCAATTGCTTCCATGACTTCGTACAAATTCTGGGTCTTCATGTCCCTTCATGGTCACTACGCACTCTACTCCTGGTAAAGAATCCGTGCCCGCCTGGCCTGCCTTTAGCTTGTAAAAGAAATTCCTGGCAGACTCCTCAATGAGCCCCATTATCTCGCGGAGCTCTTCAAACAGAAGGCGACGCGAACCAGCCTGCGCCAATTCATGGCTAGGCCCAGGCATGTAGTCCCCCTGAAGTAGACAGACTATGGCTTTGGGGTATGTTATAATAAGATCCCCATAATACCCCCTATCTATCTACTTAAGGGGGACTCTAAACGAGCAAGTGCCAAGCATGTTTGACCCAAGATGATATCGCAAACCATGGTGGTGGTTTCCCAGAATTTGTGGGGGAGGGGGGGGGGGACCTTCTTGTGGGTCCCTAAACGAAGTAAGGCCTGTAGTATTTTAGGTCCATATTCAGATACCCTTATTTCAGGGAGCTATCACGTGCACATGTGAGAAAGTTCTACACTAAGCTCCTGGGACATGATGTCCAAGGACTCATTGATGGAGTGGGTCCGCTGCTCCTGCCAATAAGAGAATGCCAGACCTGGGTATAGGGGTTATATAGGGGATATATTGGGGTTATATAGGGATAATGAAAAAGAAAATGGAAACTACTGCGGTATGTTCTGCTCAGGTCTCTCGAGTTCACCCCCTCTCTCAAGTGGAGGTGGTTTGAGTTTTTTGGTTGGGACTGTCTGACATGTTCCCAAAGCCGCCACAGACTTAACGCGCTCAATTTTCACAGCATAAATCCCACGAGTGATAGGTGTTCTGGGCACGAAATCTGGGTCCACCGCCCAAGTTCGACCCCTGGCCACTTGAAAAAGGGATGAAGCTTTCATCAAGCAAACCAACCCAGCTGGGTTTTCCAAGCGGATACCTCAGCGCACGCCTGGGCGGGCGTTGCGCGAGGATTTCTAACTGCTAAGCTCCCGCATCATATGCTGCTGGGAGATAACAGGCGTCGGTGCTGAGAGGTCGTGAGAAAACTGTGAAGGTGCGAGGCACTGATTGAAATCCTGACAAGCCAAAGTCACAAGCTAGGACCATTCAGATACCAAGTCTCCTGAGCCTCCCAGATTTCCCAGCTCATGCTCGAGGCCCTCCAGCAAAACTGGCCACGCATCCAAAACACTTTTGCAAGAGGATGGCAAGCCAGGAGGCCAGAACTGCTTCAGCCGGGCAAAACTGTGAGACACGGATGCAGGCTTTTGTTGGCCAGAACTCGCGTCCGCTTAGACGGAGAAAGTGAGCTCTGGACCAAGACACCTAAATGCAAAAACATGTCTCAGAAGAAAGGCTTCCACCAGATGCACCGGGAAACAAGCCTTCGACTGAGAGGCATCAATCTAAGAATCAAATGGGCCCCATACACCGGCCTCTAACCCTGAGTGCGCACCAACCATGTACCCTCCGTGTTTCCTGTCTTCTGGGGGCCCATTCGTCCAAACCTTTCAATCAAACAAAAGTCGCCTCGAGTCGAGACTCCCACAGGAGACAAAAACTGTGGAGTGTGTCGCAAATGCGTAGACCCTTTGTGTCGAGAGGTCATTACTTTTCCATTCTGGACTAACTATACACTGGGGGGCTTTAGCTACTCACTTCAACTCGAAGGGATTTGGAACCCCAGTAGAAATTCATAATTTCAGCTAAATACTAGGTAACAGAAATCAAAAAGTATTTTCAGGAACCTTGTAGTCAATGCGACTTCAGCATGACTTGAGCTTGGCAAGTCTGAGCTGAGGGGTCAAGAGGCGTCAGGGTGGCAGGACCAAAGAACATCTCAACCACCAAAATCATCACAACCACGACCATCTGGGGATTTCCTAAAACTCAGGATACTATTTTTGGGGTCCCCGTAGCTAGGATTCTAGTTTTTTGGATCTATATTGGGATCCCTATTTTGGGAAACCCCATCTTGATAACTGTTCATGTTCATCACTGGCCCTTTACCCTGACGCTCGCTTTCCCCTCTGCGCGCCAACTCTGACTGCCCAGCTTCATGCGTTTGAAACACGAACAAAAAGGGGGGTAGGTGAGGACCGGCTGCTTTTCGAGCCCACCCCATCCGCTTGCAAGCAGCAACCGCAGACAATACTTGACAACAACAATGACAACTATCAGTACAAGACCAACAAAACACACGTCCAGGCGTTTGTGCCAAGCAACCTCATATTTGCTGAATCTTCGAAGCAGCTTACTCAAGGGAACTCCAAGGTTTCGTGAGCAAACAGAGAGGCCTTTCCCCGGAAAGGTCTCTCTCTTCAGGTGCCCATCTCTGAATGAAATGCTGAAAAATTGAGGGAAGTTCATGAAGGCACTCTCTCTATATTTTCTCAGGAACTCAACATTGTTGACTCGCACTATGCTACCTTTCGGATTCCCCCCCTCTCGTAATGTCAGCACTCGAAATGTCAGCACTCGAGACCTGAGCTAAAACTTTTGGGCCTGGCACAGCCACCCCCACGCCCTACGAAATATGAAATATTCCCACTATATTAGAGTTTAGGGCTTAGATTGTAGTATGACAATGGGAATGTTGCAATCTAAGGGGGTGGCACATGGTGGCACTATATCCACTTTGACCCAAAATGCCCACGCCACGCGCACGAACAGAAACTGTCCCGCGTGCCGCTAAACAACTGTACAGTGTCTGCAAAGATAGAACACGTTTTTCGCTAGATGACATCCATGGCTGAGCTGGAGCAAACCAAGCATCAGGGATCAAGAGAAACCAGCATAGAATCCAACATGGGAATAGCGTTAGGGTAGCAGCTTCAGAGATCCAACCTATGGCGTGTCTCAACTGCTGTGCCTTTTCACTGCCTCTTGGAGCCCCCTGTTTGCGCGCCGGGAGTCCACCTTTGCAGCCAAGACCTGAGGCGTCTTCTCGACATCTTGCCGGAACCTCAGTGTGTACATGAAGAAGCTGCGAAGCAAAAAAGTATGTTGGGATAATGGAAAAGAAAATGGAAACTACTATATTGGGATTATAAATAAAAAAACAAGCAAGAAGGAAAGAAAATCTTACTCCAGCTTCAGACGGAAATGCCAATTTAGGACAACCTCATTGAGGGCGGCTCAGTTAAAGTCCTTACCTTGATAGGCTTGCTTGCTTACGTGTTGCCCTAAGCCTTCCCAGTGCTTGTGCTAAAGCTTCGGTCTAAAATTACCCCCATTGTACAATGTAATGTACTACTACATTGGGGGTAGAGGCTTTGTTTATTATGGAGATTGCGCGCTTGCAAGAAAGGAAAAACTATGCAGATTCTCTCACTGCTGTCCTCGCGCAGGGGGCTCATCTAGTCGTCCCTGTATCTGTCCAAGCCTACTCGAACTGAACTATGCAGTGGCATGATGAGACAGAGCTTTGTTCCGCGGAACGTGTTCAGCATCGCCAGATGCCGATCATGTAGACGCCGATCTGGTGGCATAGGAACGCCCTCAACATGACAGTTTCTCCAATGTGCTGAATTCCATGATGAAAACTCGATTCTGGAATCGTCATCCCCAGAAGTTGTTGGAACCATGGGGCCAGCCAGGGAGCCGTGCCGCTGCGTGATGCTGTCTGGCACAGGTGTGCCTGGCCGGGCACTTCCCGTAAGCCTGTGACCAAATGATGCACTGGCGGGCTGGAGCGGAGACTTTGTTTTGATCTGGTCGAAATCTGGAATGAACTGAGACACACCATGGCTGGCCCCACAACCCATGGCGACACTCTTCGTGTACCTATAAGCACAATATCTCCCAGCTTCATGCTGCAAGGTTACTAAAACACTAACTGATGGCGTCCTGCAAATGCATCCAGTTTAGCTGGTAACCACACATCGCCAACAGCATCTAGGTATGCCTCTTGACTAGACCAGCCCGGGACGCTGCCCTTGAGAAAAGGTTCCTGCAGCAGCCATGTGAACGCACAATCCTGTGTCGGCATGCTTGTTCAAAATGGGGCAGCCTCCGCTACTTGAATGCCAGCTTGAGCTTGGGATTTTCAACTGGACCTGAATCAATAGGGATCTGGCTTTGCAATGTTGCTTCTCAGAGTGCCGTTCGCATCGAAGCGTTTGGCTCTCAAATGCGGACACCCATGGTAGAATCAAGCCCAGGTCAAGTAGCAATTCTCAGCCGGGCATCCTTCCCGCACAACGTTGTAGACAGTTTGCAGGGGCTCCTACTGCAACCTGCAACCTTAGTCAAGCATAGCTCCTCCCCAGACACAAGTACGACAACTATTAATCTTTACTTCCCAACGACCACCGCCTCGACCATGAATACGATCACAACCACCACAGTGACAACGTTGGCATCGACAACTACTGGGTCCGTGGCAGGCCCATTGTTCCCCAGCACTTGCAGTCATTAGAAGGACGAAGCAATATTGAGCACAGTAGCAGTGCTCCAGTGACCTCTGATGTCAGTAGCTCCCCCCACCAGGTTGATTTCACTGCTTTTTTTGAATCGTCCATGTCCTTCGGTTCGGTGGAAGGTTATCGACCCCAGACGAAAACAGGAATTGATACAGGCAGACGCGTCAAACCCAAAACCTCAAGAAAACAAAACTATCACCAGTAATGTCTTCCCTGCGGCCTCGTTTTATTAAAGCCCCTGATCTGCACAGGAAGTTGCAACTTTAAACCCTTTAAAGCCTTTAGAGCCGAGGCCCGTACGACCTTAAACCATAAACCCTGAAACAACCCTAAACCCTACGAAGCCCCAAACCCCAAATCCTAAACCCTAAACCCCAAACCCTACACCCTCTACTCCTTTGTCCTGGACGGGAACCTTTCGGCTGGCTGCTGCACTGAGAAGCCTGGGAGATGAAAAAAACATATTGGGGATGTAAAAGGTTATTGAGGGTCTAGGGTTTAGGGTTTAGGGTTTAGGGTTTAGGGTTTAGGGTTAGGGTTTCGGGATTAGGGTAAATAACCCGATATAACCGTTTATAACCCCTATATGGGTTTAGGGGTTAGGGTTAGGGATTATGTCGGGGGACATATAAGGTCATATGGGAGGCTATATAGGGATAATGGAAAAGCAAATGGCAACTACCATTTTGCCACTTGCATGGCGCTTCAAGCTTCACAGTGCGCATCGCACGGGTTAAGGGTATAGGGAAGTTAATATTCCAGCACTGGAAAAATCACATGAAAATGAAAAGGAAGTGCACAAGGATCAAAAACCTAAAACGAAAAGCTGGAGAAGAAGCAGTGTTGAGTGCAACCCGACCATGGACAGGATGCACCTCCCATACGACCCTATATGTCCCCCATACAGCTAGGAAACCACAAACCCGCATAGGGTCATATGAAGTTATAAAATACGGTTATTGACCCTATATTATATACTAACTATATTATGTAAAGCCACGTCCAACATCCTGAGGCCTCTGCTGCTCGAGTGCTTCCGTTGCTTGTTCAAACCCTTGCTGCCCCTACATACCCGTACATGGCCCTGTATAGCCCAACAAAACCTTACATACCCTACAGCATGCGGGCCTCGAACCCAAACTGGATGCTGCCAATCAACTTTCATGAGTATGTGCCTCATCGCGCAACCCTTGAGTACCTAGAGGGGTGCGAGATACGTCGTGTAGCCTTACCCCCAAGCTAGGCGCCTGGAACTGAGCCAGACACTTTGTCAGCCGAGTTTTGGCCGCGTGGAGGTCCATGAAGCAAACACCCAGACATGCCTGGAGGAGCCTTTTGAAAGAAGGTTTTTTTTTTAGTCACACCCAGTATCAGCATCTCAGAAGTTCAGCCGAGGGCAGTTCCTAGAAACAGGATAGCTGGTATAGAGGGAAGATGTAGGGGCCCAAGGTAGCTTTGCTGTTAAATTGCTAGACTTCACCTCTTGCAGAACCTGGCCTTGCGAAAATCGTCCTCGCGAGACATGCGCAACCATTCCTCAGCGCATGTGAAGTCAGGTCTTTGAGGTCCGGCGACCGTTGTTACTCTCCCTGAAAAGAGCCTTCTGTGATTACTGTCCTCTTTCAAGGCTCCTTTCAGGTTGCATGCTTGTTTGGGGACGCGTATTGCTGCTACTTCAGCACCCTCTGCTGACAGTAGCCCTTTCGCTGGTATGCGAGCCTTCAAGCAGGTTGAGCCTGCAACACAGTACGGGCAAGTGCCAGCTACAGAGCCATCATCATAACAAGTCAGGAAATTTGGTCGAACCTACGTAGTTGTTCTTGGAAAAATTTTGCAACAGCAAGCACATCTCTCGCAATAGTCATACACCTGGCTGGCTCTACATCGTTCTGAATTGAGCATACCGCTGCATCGAAGTTTTAGTCCATGTTGAATGTGACCCGGGCAAAACCCAGTGGGAAAAAAACTGCCGCGGCCCCCATGAAAATGAAACAAAAACTAAAGGTACAAGCCCGGCCTGCTCTCCTTGTGAACGTTTGTTCTGAACTAGCCCACCCGTCGCATCAACACCATGGTTCAAATCCAGCTGCCAGGAGTAAGCTCACAAAGAACGACCACCTTTGTACTGTAGGGGCCCGAATGGGCCCGACAGCGTGCCATGATTTTGACTTCAAGGCTCTTGAAAGGCATTTGAGGAACAGAGACAGAATGTGATTCGATACATGCGGTCGTCAGTAAGTTGGCGGCACTTAGCAATCATAATTCGAATGGTAGTAAGGGTGGTCGTAACCGTAGCCTACACCCTCAACCTTAAAATGATGATAGTGGAACCTCACGTGCCCTTTCTCAGCACCGTTCCCTTTGAACGGACACAGGCATCATATAGGGATATGTAGGATGTAGAGGGATATATGGGGTGCAAAATGAAAAAACGATGCTTTTTGGCGGGCCCCGAAGGCAAGTAAGGATAGTGCAGATTGTTCTAATACTATGGAGTCTATACGTAAACTCCCAAAAAGTAATGTTCGAGTATTGTGGAGTTCCCTTAAACGGTCCCAAAAAGACTCTGAACCCTAAACCCTAAACCCTAAGCCCTAAGCCCTAAACCAAGGGGCATAGCTCCTCGCGTCCTCGACCCCACCGCCTTCCCGAGGATTGGCTTCGCTGGTCCCAGGCCGTGGCAGCAACTGCAGGCTGCAGAAAACTGGGTCGCTGTTAAGGAGCTTAGATTCAGTGACTGTAATAAGGGTATATAGGGTATGTAGGGTATGTAGGTTGAGGGGAACCATAGTACAGTAACCCTACTATTTGCAATATACCCATTTTCAGGTAACTTAAATGAAGTTCCTGAACAGCAGTCCAGAAAAAGGGCCGCGAGGTTTCTGCCTTGGATTCTTCCTACTTGCGGGCAGCCGTCTGTGTAATGCCAGAAGAACCGGGGTTCATGAGTTCATGTAAGACTGTCACTTCTTGGTGAGTTGGGTTTACATTTATCTTGTTCGGAATTCTGCGCCTGTCCATCAAGGCATCCACTGCTTCATTACACAGCTTGCTGTTAACATCTGCTACCCTGCAAGGTGGCCTGGCAGGCTTTGGCCATTGCTGCTTGCACCTGCAAGACAGTGCTGGGCCGGTTCTGTTCATTCTTGGAGGCGCCTAAATGCATCTCGCATCCAGCCGAGCGATACCAGCAGAAGGGGCAAACCAACCCCGGCAGGCTTTGTACAAAAGATCGGATGAAGAACATCGACTCGGACCCCAATCAAATACGGGGTTCAAAGGCTGGATTTCCCGCTACACCTCGCCAAAGCAATGCAATCGCCAGTATGAGGACCCACAAAATGGCCCTCAGGCTTGGGAAATGGCACTGTAGTTTTCATACATAGGGGGCCAATCCCCGACCTCAACGCCCTGTTGGCTGGAATCCTTGTTATATGGTCTCCCAACAAAAGGTGCCAAAATTCTTCGAAATGCCCATATAACTCAGGAATCAGGACTGACACTTGCAACTTGCAGATGCAAGGCCATGTACCCTGAACAGAAGACCTCAATACTCTGTTACACACGAGACCCCGTAATCACACAAACCACACAATGCAAAGAGGTCCCGCCAAAGCTAGCCTCGAGTGTGCGCACCTCTTCCTGGTGGGCATGAATGAAGTCACTCCATGGTTATAAGTAGAGTATGAATCTGATGCAAAATCGCTTGCTGAAAAATATTTCAGGAAGAAGGCTTCATTAGATACGCTATCCATTCGGCACAGTGTCTACTCTTAACTGCAGAGGTTGTAACCATGCGATGGTAATCTAATGCCCTAATCTAAGGCTGATTTTCTTTGTAAGCCCTTTGGATGAATTTCAGCAAACGTTTTAGGAAGGGCCTGTAAGGCACTGTTATAAGCCTAAACTAAAGGCATGAGCATAAGGGTCCAAGGCAAAGCCCAATGGGAGGACGCTGCTAGTGAGGGCGTAATGGAGAAATTCCACAATAAAACACTGATGCCAAATCTTGTCAAGGCGTGGCAGGGAACGGCGCATAATATATCATAATATACCGTAATATACTATAATATGCTATAATATACTATAATGTACTATAATATAAACTCTATCAAGAAAGTCCAAACGGTGAAAGACCTGAACCCTTCCACCCAGAGAGTTTGATTTCCCTGCGGGTGCAGGGTGGACTAATGAGTCGAGGTCCCAGAATCTGCATTTGGGGCTTCATACTACAAGGATGAAGTGTCGGGTTCAAAGATTAGGGGGGAGAGGGTTTCCGCGGGATATGACCAACACTACTGCTACTGCTCAACAAGAATAGTATGTGGTCTGTGGTTGGGCTTAGGATTGAGGACTTAGGAAACCCATGACTTTAACATGACTCTTGTAGGGTCCTCCTTGTGGGGGCTGGGGTAACCAAAGCTCACGCGTTTTTTTTAAATCCCGTCGGTTCTGTGGCGTATTTCCAGCAGAGAGACGGAGAGAGAGAGAGAGAGAGAGAATCAGGCCTGTCGTTGCCCACCCTCGCTGTTGCACACGCGTTTAAGGTTTAGCATCCCTTGAAACTTGAAGGGGAATACCATTTTGCTCTTCCAAAAACGTGCCCAAAAACATAAACAGGGGGATGTCACGGCACCCTAAATATGTGGGACAACCTACCATTGTTCGAACTCCGGGGCCACTGCAACTTCTTCTAAATCCTCTCATTCTTGTGATCCCCAACCTCATGAACCCTAGCCGCGCCTCCGTCTTTTCTGCTTGGCGCTCCAGGGCCGCCTGGTGTGTTCGGACTTGTGGCTATAGTCCCCTCTAAGTAGATGGACTATGGGGTATTTGAGGATCTTATTATACTATACCCAAAGCCATATTCTTTCTACTTAAGGGTGACTACATTTCTAGCTTGTTTAGGTAGCTTGTTTAGGTTCGGGCCCTGGGGACAGGGATCACGGCTTTGGATTAGGGGGCCTTACCTAGAGATTCATGCGTGGTCACCTTTGCGGCATACTAAACCCTAAACCCCAAACCAAATTATGCAAGCTTTGCTGAGGCATGCTAACACATTAGGGGCATCTTCGGTCGCTACCCTTGCACATGGTTTTGGGGTTTAGGGTTTAGGGTTCAGGGCTTAGGATTTTGGACTTGGGGTTTTAGGGTTTAGGGTTTAGGGATTTGGGGTTTTGGGGTTTAGGGTTTAGGGGTAAATATGGTGATGGTGGTCAGTCCTGTACACAGACAGTTCGGCTTGTGGATCCCGAGGCTAACTCATGGCTTGCTCCCATATGAGCTATAGTCTAAACTCCTTAAAGGGGGTTGTATAGGGGATTATATAGGGAACTACTTTAGGGGTTATTAAGGGGGATACTAGGAGTTTAGACTATGGCTCATATGAAGTGTGGACTTCTTGGCGCTTACCTTGCCACACAGGCAACTGACCAAATTTCGA